TTTAAACAGTCAGACAGATTTAAACAGTCAGACAGATTTAAACAGTCTGCTTTCACCAACACTTTCACAGCACAGAACACGACTAGAAGTTTTTGTTGGAAATGGCTCCAGCCTGCTACTCAAAACATTACTGAGAAGGCTGTTCCTCAAATTCTATTAGATCTTGAACAAAGTTCAATTAAAATACTAATCATATTAACTTAATTTAATTACTTACCCCTACCTATAACCTAATAATTAACAGCACATTACTTCTTCTCACATTTACAATAAAACTCCAGTCGACTTCTTTCTTTTCGCCAGAAGCAAGATGAGACAGTGAAAAAGGCTGTGTTCTAAAGAAAGTGTCAGGGGTTTGTAAAAACAAAATAAATGCTTTACTGAAATTAAAATGATTTAACTATTCTATAAAGGTGCTAAAACTGACAATGAAGCTGCTCAACTAAGAAGCCTTCAATTCCTCATGCTCTAATTTAATGTGCGAGAGCAGCTGAGTCACTCTACTTTAAAATAAGGACACTTTCATTTTGAATTAAAAAAATACTACATGGATAAGTGAACTGGTTGCCAAGAATATCTGGGCAAACTACTTATTTATGATCTAGGTGCATGGAAACATGTTGCATCAGAGTGTGGGTGAGGAGTTTGAGGAATGTCAGTTCAACCAAATTCAGATCTTAATCCACCCAAAATACTCTCCTGCATGTGCATCTTTTCTTTCGTCAGTGAGGAGAAACAGCAGTTCATGAGTTGATTTTGTTTTCATTTCTATGTATCTGAATGTACTAAATCAGTCGTGTCCAATCCTGGTCCTCAGTGGTCACTATCCTGCATGTTTTAGATGTTTTTCTGCTCAGCATGTCTTCAAGTTCTGCAATAGCCAGTTAATCACATTCTTCAGGTGTGTCAAAGCAGAGAAACATCTCAAACATGCAGGATCATGACCTTCAAGGACCAGGATTAAACCACACTGGCCTAGATCTGTTTATTCTTAACTGAAAGCAAAAAAAAAAAGGGGGGGGGGGGGGGGGTTCGTCTATATTCTGGATCCAGTTTCCAAAAATGTCACAATTACCGGTAGCAACTTTCTTCCAGCAAATCAAAAAAGAACCAACAGGTTGATCAAATACTAAAGCAACAACAAACATTGGTTTCTCTGGTCATTTTTGGTTCCCCAAAATAAAACGCAAGAACTTGGCATTTCCTTTTCTTTGTAAACTGAAAGCAATTATACAATGAAACTCTCGTGAAAAGCCTTGAAATTAAAACAGGAAGACTTCTACACAAAAAGAAACCCTCCATTCAGCCTCTCAGCTGCGACTACAGGAGTACCTTGGAATACTGAGTCATGCTTACAACGTTTCCATACTGGTTTTTTAGTTTCCTGAAACATTTTTGATGGCATAGTTGACATTCCTTAGCTCCGTCTAACTTTATTGGGAAACCATTACTAAGAAATATTTGAGTAAAACAAGCCAGTGTATCGTAGATAAGGTCAAAGACTGAGTCTGAAAGGACATTTAGGGGGTTCACTTTAATTACATTAGTAAATAGATGGTAAGTTAATAAACTATTTATTTAAAAAGGAGAGAGGAGACAGTTCAGGTTTTTTAACTAAAGTTTTTGTTGTCTTCTTGTAATAAAATAAGCCTCTTTGGCGAAACGCTTCAAGCTGGGACATCCTCTGACAGTCTGAGTTTTGAAAGGACCAAGACGGCATGGACGACTGAGGTCAACCTGCTGTTGACACACTTCTACTCCACCAGACCAGGTTAACAAAGCTGTAATGGTCGACATGTGAAAGGGAAATTTAGCTTCATGTCTCACTGTGATGATGACAGTCGTGTGTGACCCACCAGCTGAAGGATGTACATCATTCGACATGTTTGAGAAAATGTTCGACGCACGTTTTACGCCTCTACAGATTGCCTGATGCTAGCTTCGTTAATGAACGCTAACAGTTTTGTGGCACAAAGGCGGAACGCTTGTTGATCTGTGAGCAGCTTAAAAGGAGGCTCACCTTTACAGCCATGTCGCAGAACAGTTTTGAGAAACGGCCTACAGTTGGTTCGCATGCTAAACGTTTCCTTTTCAATTCCCTCGCACAGCTTCTACTTATAAAATGCATGTCTTTTTCCAAATACCAGTAATAATAATCGCCTTACACGTAAGTGCGTGAGCAAAAAAATGTATGCAAATCATTTTCAACAAACCAGGATAACTGTCACTCATGGGTGATGATTTATGAGCATCATAATCAAGTGTTGTGACTCACGGTGCAATGAAAGACAGCCATGTTTAATCTTAAAGAACGTTCAGCATTCTTATTTCAAGTATTTCTGTTCGGTCTGTGTGCCACTTTTCCTTCAGGTCTTCTGTTGGTATCAGCCTTCTTAGAGAATGACTACGATATGAAATCATCAAAGAAGACCTGAACAAATGTCACGCCTGCTTCAGTGCACCAAACTTTCTCCGAGGTCGCCAGAAAACACTGCAGGGAAATCAGAATGTTAAGAGGGATGTCTCTGCCCATCGCTGAGGGAGCGGGACAAACAGCACCACGGATAAAATACCATTTCAATCCTGAAAGGCTTCTGTTCACTCTAAAACGGGAGGGGGGCTGACAGTTTAACTACACAGAAGGGCTCCGAGCCTTTCTCATGGTAATTATTGGGAGGTGAAAACAGAAGGCAGTGCCAGACACCCACTTTACGCCGAACTGTGCACATTTGTAATTACTGTTGAATAAGTGGTGCTCATTGGCCACACATGGACATAAACAAGTAATTCCGACTTTATGTCATTTTATACGTAACATTCTTTTACACCGCATTCTTTTTCCAGAATTTCATGAAGTGTACAAAATATACATCCAGTACAGAAGAAGACTGTAACATTCCTGGATGGACATGTGCGTTTCCTTAGTGCCAAGGAATTCTGATGGATCCTTACTGCACATTCCTTGGAAATGTCAAGATTTTATGTTTCTATAAACCTCCTTTATGTTGATCCAGGCTTTCTTTTAAAGAACATGACGGCATGAGAATCAGTGCAGCCTAAAAAGTGGGTTCATTTAGTTCAGGGGTGTCAAACCCACTTACAAAGTGAAGTTAAAATGAAAACCTTTGTCAAACTAAGGGCTTGTTTCAGAATCTACATTAGCTCAAGTTAGATAATATCCTACATATTTTCTTGGTTGCAGGTTCCTCAACAAGAGTTTGGTTGGTCTCATTTGACGTTCTCTGCTGCACTTTTGACATAATAATCAAAGATTACTGAAAAGAATTAAAGTGATAAAAGTATTTTACATTTAAAAAAACATCTTGGGGGGCAGATAAGATGTCAACGAGGGTTTAGTTTATTTGTAGATTATGTTTGTGATAAAGAAGATCCAATCATAAACTGGAGTGATTCAATGATGGCAGACGATGGATCAGGACATCTTTCTTAAATATTTTAATTAATTTAGTTGTATTTCTCCTTATATATTTTTTTTCCCCAAAATAGTGTACTACTTGTAAAAGTATACATTAAAGGAATAATGAATAGCTTGAACATCCATTTTTTACTATTTTAGTATGTATTATATTATCATCAAAAGTCAACACAGTTGCAAACAATTCAGTTTCTACACAAGTAAAATAATCTTAAATATAATAATAGTTAGCATCCATTTATTGATATAGACACAAATAATCTAAGAAGGCAGTTCAGCAGCTGTCAAGCCTGAAAAACAATGTTGATATCCAGCCCTTGTGCTCAGAAAGTGTCAGATCAGTGTTGCTTGAGGTGATTGCATTAGTTTTAACCTGCTGCTGCATAAAGGTCAAAACGTGATTGATCCGAGTCTGGAGATAAACCAGAGGAACCTCTGAATCACGTGAGGAGACTGGTTTAATCTGCTCTGCCACGGCTTTGTTTTTGGTCATTTGGAAAGGGCTTTGTTTGTCAACAACAACAACAACAGAGTTCAGCTCGGAACAACTATTAGCTCATAGAAGCCGAAGCTCGTGCAGCTGTGAATAAGGACACGGTTTGGCGCCTGGAGCTGCAGGTGTTTCACGTCGCTGTTTCCCAAACAGACCACCGCCGTGGGAACATGTGGAAGTCAGGGTGGGGGCCGGGAATACGAACAATAACCCACCCGTGAACGAAAACTCGACTTTACCGTACTTCAACGGGAGGTATTAGCTAAACTAAGCAAAGAGCAGTTAACTTACTGTGATGGTAACTTCTTGTCTTTTCAACCGATACTTGAGGCTCTTCATCTTGGTAAAGTGTCGGTTACTGGCGGTGAGTGTAACCTTCGTCCGCAGAAGTTAATAAAAAACACACACACTTCCCTGAAAGTTTCGATAAAGTTAACTTTGAGCTCCTCTCGTGTCTTTACAGTCCCGAGTTTCACCTGACGCTTTAGCCACCGCGAACTCTGGGCACACTTTGATTGGCAGGCGTCTGAGCCAATCAGACTGGAGCATGCGCGGTCGGCTGAGGTTTTATCCAATGGGATGTCAGGAAGGGCGGGATTTCCTTTGGAGCAAAAGTGCCACTGGGAAACATGGGAACGGCAAAGGAAACAGGTTTACCTGAAAACCGGAACTTCTGCAGCTCCAACTGAAGCGCAATACAAGTACTTGGATTTAATCAGTCTCCCACATAGTGAAGTATAGTATTTAAAAAAATTACCACCTAATTACTGTGTCACTAAAGCTGTGTCCTTGTGTAATGCCTTTCACAATTAAGTCGCAGATTCTCTAACCTATGTTTATTTTTAAAATAAAATCTTAAATGTTACGCTTTTTTCCTCATTCATTCAACCTTTATTTAGACAGGTTAATCCCACTGAGCCTCGAGGACTCATTTACAAGAGAGACCTGATTTCATCAAACAGTGACAGTGGACAACAACGACAACATTAGACAATCATAAAAGAGGCATACAGATTTTTTTATTTTTTACAAATTAAAATAACATGGTAAAAAAAAGTAGCAAAAAACAGCTAGATTATAAAGCGAATGTAGAAAACTAAAAACAGGAACATGGCTGCATTGGTTATTAACAGGTTAATGGAACCTCTTAGCCAGAAGTCCAAAAGATGCAGATTTGTAAATCATAAAAACATTATTAACTTACTTTTTATGTAGATTAATGTTTCTGTTCAGTGCCCTGAGATGACTTCTGTTGTGACTTGGTGCTAAATAAATAAACTGAATTGAACTAAATTCTAAATAAATAAATAAAATGAATTGAATTGAATAAAAGCAAAAAATGGGACAGTGTTCAAAAGTGTAGCGAAACTTATTATTATTAAGTATTACTTGGAGTGATTGTGTTGTGAGGATGGACTGAGCAAAAAGATTTCAGGAAATATAAGCTTAGACTATATATAATTTTATACAAAAACTTGATTTTATTTTATTGTCAAATGAGAAGAACCCAAGAAAAATGAAGGATTGTATAAAACTTTTATTAGAGACTTAAGCACAAGCAAAACTAATGAATTTTTATATTAAATCATACTATTTGCCTCAGTCAAGAGAATAATTGTCTCACTGCTGAATTAATATTTATAATTAGCCTATTATTCATCGTCTACAAATTATCTACGTTATTCATAATAATAAATTCCACTTGCAATTAAAACGTCTTCCATCTGTTTGTCCACCTCTGTGACATGTTTTTTTTAAAGGATTGGTTAGAAATGTATTTTTATCAAAAGGATTTACTGAAAATTATATTTATACCCAATAACATAGAACATGTTTGAAAGTCCAGAAGACATGGCAAGTTGGTTTGATGATAAGGATGATAACCTATTTAATACATTAACCGTGGAAATATAGACCTATATTTCAAAACTTAACTTAAGAAACATGTTAACTGAGGCAATAATTTTAGGATCTTTGAAAGAAATGTTATTTAAAAGGATAAAATGCTGCCCCCAGGTGGCTATTGAGGTTGGCCACCGCCACAAGATTCATAGCATTCACACAAGTTTGCTAAGAAGTTTTGTGTATTTTCAAACTTTTCTTCACATAGAAGCAAATATGCCTTCCGGGAGTTTAAATAAAAACAAGCATCGCCAAATGTCCATGCTTCACCGTCTCTTGAGTGCTTTTGCTTAATTGGGGAATATTTGAACGCCTTGAGCACTTGAACGCGGCCCTCTTCCTTTGTCCGCGTTTCTATGGCAACAGCAGCGTTGCCCCGGTGACGATGCCATGGAGACCGGTGCACTTCCGCACTTTGGAACTGGAAGCATAAGGCTGGAAGACACGCGCGGGACGGTGAAATACCTACTTCGTACCGTCCAGAGGTTGGTCTCTGGGTAACTGGGTCCGACAATGGCCGACAAGAAGTCGTATAAATACAAGTTGTTGTGTTTGCTGCTGAACGACAAATGAGGCAAATATTAAGTTACTTTTTGAATTAACAGAAGAAGAAAAAAAACATGTTTATAATAAGCTGCTTTTATGTACATATATGTGACCTTACAATACCAATTGTGCTTACATCTGAAAGTTTTACTGAGCTGGGCAATTGGGAGTATTTTGACATCTTAAATGGGGAGGGGGGTATAATGAGTAATATGCGCTGCTCAAGGTGGCTGCATGTTGGAGTAGCTCGATTACTTTCATTCTGAGTTATTGCTTTTGAAAACTTTAATTCCTATTTTCTCTGGATGTAAATCACTTTTTTCAGATGATTGTTTACTCTGGTATCAGACGCTGTGCAGCTGGAAGGAGTTTTACTGATCCCTTTTTACTTTTGGGCATTTGTTATGAGGCGTAACCGTGGCAACAAGGTGGGTTTTTTTTAACAACCTGGAGCAGCTGATTAACATCTCAAAAGCTCAAATACCTCAACTAAAGCCGCAAATCCCTAACAAGTTGAAAAGAAGGCGCCGTGGACGAATTCCCGTCAACCTGGCGGCAGTGCTCGAGTACCTGACCGCCGAGATCCTGGAGGTGGTGGGAAACTCGGCTCATGAAAACAAGAGGACCGGGATCCTCCCCCGGCACCTTCAGCTGTCTGTCTGTGGCGATGGGGAGTTTGGCAGACTACTGGGAGGAGTGACCATCGCTCATGGAGGAATTCTGCTCGGTATTTGGTCAGTCCTGCTGCCCAGGAGGACCGAGAGGCCTGCCAGATCTGACAGCAAACTGGATCTGGGTGGCCGGGTCGGTATCTGTGGCCAGATTCTTTGGATTCGCTGCAGGAGATCCTTCCTGCCCACAGCTATCAGCGTCTATAACAACTCTTGAATGAAACCAGGATGATGAGCTATGACAACACTTAATTTCCCTTTGGGATTAAAAAGTATTTTTGAATTGAATTGAACTGAACTGAATGAGGTGGCATGGTAGCTCAGTTGGTAGTGCTGTTGCTTCACAGTGAGAAGGTTGCCAGTTCAAATCCCAGCTGGGTTGACTTCATACTCTTATTCTAATTTTATGCTAACCAAAACAATGATTCAGTGGTTAGCAATGTTGCCTCACAGAAAGAAGGTCCTGGGTTCAATCCCCAGTTGGTCCTGGGGTCTTTCCAGTGTGGAGTTTGCAAGTTCTTCTCGTGCTTGCGTGGGTTTTCTCTAGGTACTCCGGTTTCCTCCCACAGACCAAAAACATGCATGTTAGTCTGCCTTCAGGCCCAGGCCTCCCTTGCAAAAGAGATCTGTGATCTCAATGGGATTTGTCTGGTTAGATAAAGGTCAATAAAATAAATAAGGTAAGTAAATAAATAAAAAATTTGTACACAAGCTATGTTAAGCACCTTAATCTGTAAAATAGTGGTAGAACATGTTGCGTTCAATGTTTTCAGCTAGTAACGTTATGAATTATAACACAATAATTATGCTATAGGAACATACATTAGGTGTTGCTTAGGCAAATGATCCAAAAACCACCTCTATTAGGACCGAAGCCTCCTTAAGTCTGCAGTAAATTAGAAACAATCTATATAGCACAATATCTTGCATTTTAGCTCTAATGTCTTGTGGATTAAGCGACACTTTCTTGTAAAACAAACCTGACGAATTTGTAGAAAGTAAGCTTTGCCCACAGAACAATTCATTCACTCAGTTCTGAGTCCAGCTGAGAAAAGTGGGAATAGTTTGGAATCAGATTTATCTTGCTGACAATTTAATATTTAGTCCATAATCACTTGTTGACATACTTTATTGGGGACTGTGTGAAGACAGCCACCCATTAACATCCACCTGAAAAGGGTCTTGCTCTTCTTTCAACTTTAATGTGGCCCGGACCGCAACATGTACCCCCGCAAATTTTATATCAAAACGATCGACTTGGCACCATGATGTGTGTGCTATTACTTTCATGGACATTTTGAGTTACCATGGCGATGTAATTTTCAAACAAAGACGCCATTTTTCTCATTGAAAAACACTGCACTGTGCAACAGGAGTTGAGGGCGGACTGGCCATCGGGAGCACTGGGACATTTCCCGGTGGTCTGGCCCATTCATCAATGAGAACCTAAAGGCTCGGTTCGGGTCACACTTTTTTGTTTTCCTTTTTTTTCTTCTTCTTTCGGCTGCTCCCTGCATTAGGGGTCGCCACAGCGAAATAAGTCACACGAAGACTTGGCAGTTATTTTAACGCCGGATGTCCTTCCTGACGCAACCACAGACCACCGAGCTACCACAGCTCTCTGTGTGGAGCAGCGAGCTGCTATCTAGGACACCTGGAGGAGCAGATGGTGGGGGTTAAGGGCCTTGCTCAAGGGCCGAGAGTGGGGCGAATGAGGGTGGGGGCAGGTGTGGGTGCTTCACCTACCCCACCCACATTTTTGATGATGTTGGTACCGGGGCTTGAACCGGCGATCTTCCGATCACAGGCCCACCTTCTCTAACCTTTGCGCCAGCACTCCCCTTGGTTCCGGTCATGCTTGATTATTTTAAATAAACATATGCTGCATGGATTGTTTAAACTAGTACAGTGTTTAAATTTAAATTATTTACACAGAAGGAGGGAGGCTGGGAGTGACATGTGATGAGCATGAATGAGCAGCTGAGAAGTGGGCGTGGCAGGCAGCAGACAATGGAGCTCTTGACATGCTGCTCTTTTTAGAGCGTTCAGAGTTTAGAACATTGCAAGAGTTTGGGAAAGGTTTATAAAGCCTTATATGTATATGTATATATTAGGGATTGAATCGACTAGTCGATTCTAGGACATCTCACAAGTTTTTAAATTTCACGTCGACTAGTCGCAGTCATGTGATTGTGTCACCGGGCGCTGGCTAGAACTGTTATTTCTAACCTGGGCCCGGAGGTTAAAAATCCATTAATTAATGATGGACGGGCCATGTCGGTGTCAGGCTTTTGATTGCATCAGTGGACGCGCGTGGCTGACGATCCAATTTGCATCACCAGCCGCATGTAGCCGTTTGACAGCGTGCTGACTGGTCAGTTGAAAGAAGTTTTTTAAAAAGTTGATGGATCACTGCCAGTGACCCACCTGACGCTCAACTGGACTGGACCCAGATGTGCCCGGCCGGTTGAAAGATGTACAAAAAAAAAGGTTGATCGATCACTGCCAGTGACCCATCTGAAGCTTAACTGGACTCAGCCGCTGCGTCAGCAGACAGAGGTGGATTCTACCCCCACCCCTTTTTAGTTTTATTTTATTTAATCCAGTGTGGGAATGCACCACCATCCGCACACCTGTTTTTAGTTAAATTTTTTACGTGCCGTACGTTCCTTTCACTTTTGCAGCTTAATAGTTTTGGTTTTCCTGCAACTTGTTTGCAGTATGATAAACTGTAGGAGCATAAATATATGCTCCCAATGTTTTTTTTTTTTTTTAATAGTAAATAATAAATTATTTTTTTGTGTGATCATGATTTAGCGTCTTGAATTCCTATGACGTCAGCGATTAGTCGACGTTGATTTTTATCATGCTGAAGTCCATCCATCCATTATCTTTACCTGCTTCTTCCATTTTGGGTCAAGGGGGTCGCCGGTGCCCATGTCCATCAATCACTGTGCGAGGGGCGGGGTACACCCTGGACGGGTCGCAAGTCCATCACATCCTGAAGTCAACTTGGAAAAATATGAAGTTGTGCGAACGACATTGCTCACAGTCTTGTCAGATAAAATATGAGCTACATTTTACAGATGTCTGATGAGCTCCTAGGCTGCAGGGAGTCGCTGTGTTCATTCATTAGTCAGTGGCATTTAGAAAAATGAAGAACAAATAGTTAACAAGTTATTAACAAAAAAACTTGAACAATAGGATGAACAAAAGGATGTGTATAAACATGTTTTTTTTAAAATTGATACAAATGCACAAAATACAAAAACCTTTATTAAGTGACAGCTAACCATGTCATCCAGCATTAAACTGCACCTCATGTGGTAGAAGAAACATTAATAATTACACACATGCAAGAGTAACAAGCACCTCAGCTGGAACACAAAAACAAACACCATAAAGCTGCTTGTTGAAATGACAGAGAATCTATTATTTTGTTCTTTCAAACCAAGTGATATAAAATTGAGAAGGTAGAGAATATTTTTTCAGCTGTGCCAAGTCCCCAAGATCTTTTTGGGATGAAACCCTTCAATTCACGTGAAAACGTCCATCCTGGTCTGCACTCCAAAGTGTAGAAGTGCTTTTTATTTCTCGTGGCCTGACATGGTCGAGATGCCTCTCGCTCAGAGCGTCGTGTTGCTCAGAGCTCTCACACAGCTTTGCGGTGGTACTCTGGGGGTGCGACCTCATAGTCGCTGGCACTGAAGAGGGTGGCTGAATTCTTAACTAGGTACCTGAAGAGAAAACAGTGATACAGCCTGTCACTGTGGAGCGAGGTGGAAATGGATGTTACAGACAGCTTAAAAAAAAAGAGTTGCAGAGCAGACGTCAGCTGAGCTTGCGAGTAGGGAATGTTCAGAGTTAACCCCATTAAAGATGGCCACTACAGCTAGCTTACTTAAGCAATTCAATTCAGTTTATTTATATAGCGCCAATTCACAAAAGAAGTAATCTCAGGACACTGTACAGAAACATTCATATACGGCATATAAAAAATAAGTGAATAACATTATTTATCTTAGGAGCAGACTGCTTTGAGTCTTAATTTCTAAAATGCTCAGGTCCAAAAACCAAAACCTCAGTCTTGTCCGAGTTAAAAAGCAGAAAATTAAGGGTCATCCATGTTTATATGTCTTTAAGACATGCTTGTGGTCTAAATAACTGATTGGATTCGTTGGGCTTCGTGGGCAAATATAACTGTGTATCATCAACATAATGAAAATTTATCCCATGCTGTTTAACAACTTTACCTCATGGAATCATATGTAAAGTAAAGAGTAATGGGCCAAGCACTGAACCCTGAGTAACTCCATGAGTAACTTTGGTGTAAGAAGAAGATTAATTTACATTTACAAACATTTACTTAGCAAACGACATATACTCTGAGTGCTAACGGATTAGAAGAGATCCTGCAAGATTATACTTTTTAAAACTGCTCTAACTCTCGTTTCTCAGCATCTTAGTTTAAAACTCTGACCTCGAAGGTGACAGGTAATATGCATTTACTTAAGGCAGGTCTCTGGTTTTATTCAGTGTTTACAAATAATTTATGTCATCTGTAGTCAATGATCTATAAAATAATTTTAAATAGACATTCAATGCATCTATCTAGCCAAATGCTGGCTCTGCCACTTAAGTAATGCACAGCAACAAGCGCAGAGTCCGAGCAAAAAAAATAAAACATGTTCCCGAGTAGCAATGTCGACCTCATGGCTTATGTTTCAAAGTGTTTTCAACAAGCATGGCTGCACTAATGTCTACTAGAAGAAATGGGTCATTTGAGAATCAGTCAAACATGACATGAAGTCTCTGGAGCGTTGCTGGGAGTCAGAGCTTACTTGAGGAAATCTTGGAGGTAAGTGAGCAGCAGAGCCAGGCTCTTCTCATCGAGTAACGTGTAGGCCAGCATGGCTCCGATCCGAACTGTTGGTGAAATAGAGCATCTTTGAATGCCAGTAAACAAAGAAACAATTTATTATTCAATACTACAATGATTAAAAGTGTTTCATAAAAATAACTACTGCTAAAACAATAATCAGAAAACATTCAATATCTTCATTCTTCAGTATTTGCATATGTAATCATGCAGAACCTTTCATTTAAAACTGAAGTTCCAGTAAAGATTAAAAATTTAAAAAGTTCATTTTATTAAGTTTACTGCATGTACAAAATAATAACGGTTACTGGATGTTGAACCTTTATGTATTAAAAGAATAATCTTAAATCTGAATAAATGGAACAAAGTAAAAATACCCTAAATTTGAATTAAAATTGTATACCATATTAAGTCAAAAGATAAAAAGTAATTCTGAATCGTATGGCAGCAACACATCTCACACAATGAGGTTATAGAATTGCGCCGATCGGGGTGGCTGCATGTTGGAGTAGCTCTGTTACATTCGTACTGAGATTTTGCTTTTTCCTTTTTTTTTCTGGATGTAAATCACATTTTTGAATGATTGTTTCCTCTGGTATCAGATGCTGTGCAGCTGGAAGGATTTTTACTGAAACTTTTTTTAGTTTTAGACATTTGTTATGATGCGCAACCATAACATCAAGGTGACTTTAACAACTGGGAGCAGCTGATTAACATCTCAAAAGCTCAAATAATATCTCAGCTGCAGCCCCAAATCTCAAATGAGTTGAAAAGGAGGCACAGTAGATGCATTCCTGTCTAACTGCCAGCTGTGCTCGAGTGCCCGACCACTGAGATCCTGGAAATGGCAGGAAACGCAGCTCGTGACAGCGGAGGGACTGGGATCATCCACCGGCACCTGCAGCCAGCTGTCCGCAGCGGCGAGGAGCTTGGCAGGCTGCTGAGAGGAGTGACTATCGCTCTGGGAGGAGTTCTGCCTGGCATTCTGCCCGGCATTCAGGTAGTCCTGCAGTCTGGGGGAACTGAGAGGCCAGCCGAGTCTGGGTGGACGGATCATACAGCATCTACAGCCAGTTTCTTCAGATCCGCTGTGGGACGGACCTTTACAAGAGATACTTCCTGTCTACAGCCATCAGCATCTATAACATCTCTCAATGAAACGAGGATAATGAGTTACAACATTTAATTTCCCTTTGGGATTAATAAAGTATTTTTGAATTGAATTTTGAATTGAATTCACTTTAGCAACACATGTTCAAATTAAATTTTGTTAAAAAAAAAAAAAAAAAAGACAAGTACAATATTTTTCACCCTACAATTCCTATGACTTATAGGGTGAAAAATATTTTTTGCATAATTTGCACGCCCTGCAACTTATACGCCGAAGCAACATATTTATGGATTTCTTCCCATATTTATAAACCAATTTTTGGCTGAGATACGACTGTTTTCATTCATTCTGACTGAAAATATTGAACACTACCAGTTTCAGCCGCTAGATGGTACTCGAGCAGTATGGCATGCTCTTGTGTTATGTCAGAGTCAGAGTTTCTTTATTGCCATTAGCACCTCATGTGGTACATGTGGTGGAGCGAAATTATGTACACAGGGTCCCAGGTACATCCAACAATAAAATGTAAAAGAAAAACGGTAATAACATCTAAGATACGAACTAAGAAAAACATTGACTAAATATACACTAAACACTAATAACATAAAAACATTACGTCGAACAGCAGCACAAACATGAACATGAGTCTGTGTGAGCAGTTGAGCACACCAGAACACATCAACATGAAACAGATCAGCAGCAACATGATGTGATTTTTCACAGTGATTATTCTGGTTAGAGATTCATGAGTCTAACAGCCTCAGGGTAGAAGCTGTTCCTCAGTCTAGTGGTTCTACACTTAATGCTCCTCAACCTCCTTCCTGAGGGGAGTGAGGCAAAAAGTGTCTGTGCTGGGTGAGTGGGGTCCTTCATGATGCAGGTGGCCCTCTTCCTGCATCTAGAGGTGTAGATGTCTGTGATGGTGGGGAGACTGACTCCAACATCTTCTGTGCAGCCTTCACAACTCTCTGCAAAGCTTTTCTTTCTGCAGCTGTGCAGCCTCCATGCCACACGTTGATGCTGGAGCACAGGATGCTCTCCACTGCACACCTGTAGAAGGAGGTGAGGACTGAGCTTCCCAAACCAGCTCATCTCAGCCGTCTGAGGAAGTAGAGTCTCTGATGAACTTTCTTGATCAGGCTGGTGGTGTTGTTGCTCCAGATGAGGTCGTCATTTAGGTGCACACCCAAGTACTTGTAGCTGGAGACCACTTCCACCGCATAAACTCTTATGTTCAGGGGGGTGTAGGTGTTTTTGTTCCTTCTGAAGTCCACAATCATCTCCTTTGTCTTCTTCACATTGATGTGAAGGTTATTTTCTTTATGTAATAGGTAAATAGCTGATTTGACCACCAAAGTGCATTTATTAAGAAAAAGTTAGACTGAGACACACATTTACTATAATTTTGAGCAAACAAATAATTGTTTTTAAGTGCTAATCTTGTTAACTTCTTGTTAAAGTCCTCCCGTACACGCTCCCGCGGCCGTCATTTGGCAGCCAATTGATTTTTGGCACAACATTGGCCCACATTTCCCGGTTCGGCCCACATTTTCGGGTTGTCAGCGGTGACACGTAACAAACGCGATGCGTCAACAGTGATGCATAATAGATGTGACGTATATGACGAAGTGACATATTTATGGATTTTTCCACTTTATTCGACAATTTGGACTGATGCGACTTATAGGGCGGTGCAACGTGTACAGTGGAAAATATGGTACTAGGAGTTTCACCCCAATGTTTCCTGTTGGATAGCACAACAATAATTTAGTGTGAAAGAAATGAGAAATAAAAATCCATAATGATTTTAATCAAATTTTTCTAAATTATTTTTTCCTCTCGTACTAAAATATTTTTTTGATTTGCTGTGAATTATCTTTATTCCTTCTGCAAAGAAATGCAGATTCCTGGCTGATTTTGTCAATAAATTTGGAGCACATTAACGATAACCAACAAACTACTCAGCAACTTGTGGAATACCTTTTTATTTCCAAGGACAAACTTTTGTTTCTAGTTTGAGATTTATTTTGGCACTGCTTGAATTAAAAAGTTTTAAATCAAAACAAAACAAGTGAGCTTCTTTTCTGTAGCTGAAGAAGTTTCGCTCTCCATCCAGGAGATTCACTTGAAATACTGTCTGGACTGTGTGGAGTTCCAAGCTTTATAAACCTGCATGAGGCCTTGTTACGTACTCGAAGGTGCATTAAAACCACACACATCGCACAACGGAGAGAGTCGTCAGGCTTTGTTTGCTTGACTGTGATGTTTTAGTTGCACAATGAAGGTGAGAGTTAGATGGAAACTGACTGGGAATGAGGCCTATTGCTGCATTGTAGGTTTTTGAAAGCTGAAATCTGAGACCTCCTCTGTATAAAATCATCTTTTCTTGTTAGATGTAAATTATTCTGTCACCCCCTCTCAAATCAATTGTCTTCTCTGTCCAAAATATGAAAGTTTTGGTCCTCAAAAGATTATCCTTGAGGTGTAGGTGGACTGCTGAGTCTTGTCCTGAAGAGTTAGCTCTCTGGTGTTGAGCCACGCATCTGCTGTTTAGTTTCTCCAATAAAGAGCTCTGAACATTCCTCGCTTCACTGATCTGCAAACACCACCCAGAGGTTCTGTCCTTAGAATGGACCAGCCTCTGTCTGAGGGTTCTGTTAGGTTTGAAATGCACCAGGATGTTGTGATGGGAGAAAATCAGTTTCTCAGATACTTTAGCAACATGTGGAATGACAATGTTTTTGTTGTTTGTTCTTTTCCCTGTTGTTTGTTTATTTATGTATTTGTTTTTTATTATTTCCTCACTGACTTGACAAAAACCCTATTAGGATATTTTTAATATGTACTTATTTAGGATATTTTACAGCTTTGGAGAACTTTACTGACGTGTTCCTTTTCCTTCCCTTCTGACCTCATGGGGACATGGCGTAGATTTCTGATGACAGAAAGTTTTGAGTTGCAGCGGTGAGAGTCAAACAGAAGGCACTAAAAACTCACCCTCCAGACTTTTTTAAATTGATAAAGTTTCCCGGATGAGAAGCAAAATGCCTTCGACAACAGAACATAAGTCCAGTTGTTCAGTTTTTAATCTTGTTTTGGATGTACCAAGTCCTGGATGACAGATTCTACACCTGCATTTTGATCAGGACTCATTCAGTATTTTTGGTTCATACCAGGCTTGATGTTTCTGTAACCCTACCATTATAGAAGCAGAGCGCCCCGCCCCCTTAACAGGACCGAGCGCCACGCCTACCGAACCGAACTGCGTGCACCCCCCACCCCCACCACACACACACACACGGTAGCACTGGCGTAACGCTAGACTACAATACAGGCACGAAAGCTAAAAAGCTAAAGGCAGCGCTCACGCTGCCCTTTCCTTCATGATGAACCCCCCCCACCCCCCCACCCCCACCCCGTGCTCAAAAACTGCAGGTTATGGCAAGTTATCTAGGGGAAACACTGAAATGTATGTTCAGGCTGCTGTTTAATACGCCATATTATATTACATTATTATTGTTTAGTGTATACCTTAGATCAATGTATACTGTTTTGTTTTTATACTTTATATTTTTGCTCTTTTTGGGTGTAACTGGGACCTTGAGTACACGATTTCATTCCATCTCATGTACCACATGTAATGCGAATGACAATAAAGTCACATTGAACCTTGAAAACTGTCGAAAAACTAAAAAACACCTAATCTTATAGAACTGGGACCGTCACAGTATACTCGTGTGCTTATGAAACTATTCCAGTGCTTTTCACAGGTAGGCCCTTACCAAACAGGCGCAGCAGGTGTGGGGCTCCGTACACCTGAGACATGGGCAGATCCGGGCGTTCAGCCAGGATCTCAGCATACTGCGGCCTCTCAAACTTGTACAGCAGCTGAGTGCCCAACATGACGTTGAAGTACTCCCGGATCCCAGCCACCACTTCGTTCACAGCGTACTCCCTGAGCCGATAAGACACGTGTCTGAAAACTGACTTCTGAAGTCCTTTGAAAACCGTCTGTGTTCCTGACTTTAAACTCAATTATCCAAGTGCTTATTTGCTCAAAATAAAAGCAACTAGACAAAAGTGGGTCTAATAAAGATTAATAAAAAAAGACAGCGATACAAATATAAACATTATTTTCAGCTCAACTCAAACAATTCTTTGTAATATTTTCATTAAAACACCATTTTGTACAATGGGTAATTACAGAAAGCCTCATATTGTGTAAAATGCTCCAAAGAGCATCAAACTGCCCATAAATGTTTCCACAGGGGGAAACAGAAGACACTAATGTGGAAAACACATTAAGTGGCAGGTGCTGTAATGAGGGGATCACATGCAGTGAAGCTGAACTTGACTGCAACACACCAACATTTTCTTTACAATGACAGCCAGAAAACATCTTACTTGTTGTCGGAGTTTCCTTTTGATTTCTTGTAGTTTGCGTATTCCTCTAAGACCATCTCCACACTCCTCTTGGCGGGCAAATGAAATAACTGGAAGCAACACAAACTCAACGTTAGCTACCCAGAAATTTTAAAAGTTACGTAACATGTTCCAGTGAGTGTGCCTTTTACTGACAGCACATGTAAACTGGATGTTCAAAAGTTCTTCTATGAAATTATCTTAATTATCACAAGCGGTGCGAGAGTTTGTTCCGCATTGCCAGTGGTAAGTCAGACCCCTTCAGGGTGGGAGTTGGACTCCACCAGGGCTGCTCGTTGTCAGTGTCACAGATTCTGTTCATAACTTTTATGGACAGGATTTCTCGGTGGAGCCAGGGGTCGGAAGGAGTCTGGTTCAGTGGCCTCAGGATTCCATCTCTGCTCTTTGCAGATGATGTGGTCCTGTTGGCGCCATCTTGCCGTGATCTTCAGCTCTCACTGGAGCGGTTTTCACCCGAGTGTGAAGCGACTGGGATAAGAATCAGCACCTCCAACTCTGAGGCCATGGTCCTGAGTCAGAAAAGAGTGATTAGTCTCTTCAGGTCGAGGGTGAGGTTCTGCCTCAAGAGGAGGAGTTCAAGTATCTCTGAGTTTTGTTCACGACTGAGGGAAGAATGGAGCGTGAGATTGACAGATGGATTGGTGCAGTGTCTGCAGTATTGCGGACTCTGTACGAAGTTCATGCTCAATAATCCAGGTAAAAAATACAACAAAGGTCAGTCAGGTCATCCGGACAGTTTCTTTTATTTGTTGTTGTTGAGAGGTTTCATCTTTCATCCACTGGACTTTGTTGGATTTTTTTACCTGGATTATTGAGCATGAACTTTGTTGTTTTCAACCACTTTGGCTATGGCTTCCTCACAGGAGTCGAAGGGGGAGAGGGCGGGCCCCAGAAACCATCTTATCATCAACAAACTTGTTGGTCAATATGTGAGTGTGCTGCTTGTGGGACTGAGTTTGTTTGTGGCTCCTTGTACTGATGAAGTCCTTTGGATGAAGGATGAAACTTTCAGCAAAAACAAGAACCTGTCCAGATGACCTGACTGAACTTTGTTGGGTATCAGAGCTACAGTTGTTATAAAATGTCTAAACACTACTATCAAAAAGTTTTTGTGATGTATAAAAAAAGAGATGTTGACGAATCATTTCCACATTTTTCCACACCTTTACTGCGATGTATGTCCTGCACAACTAAACTGAAGAAGAAGAAAAAGCCTGTTGTGGTGAAAATCTAAAAATGTTTCAAAAAGATACAATAAGCTAAATGTGTAAATGTGCACACCCTGAAACTAATGCAACTATATTTTGATTTATTTACACCCTTCGTTCCTTTTGCTCCTCCTGCCATCGATTAGTGACTTTGATCGACCTGAAATAACGTTCACTTGTCCCTGCAGGATTTTTCTGGTGTTTACTTAGTTGCATCCTGTTGCAAAAGATCCAGAGAGCTCACGAAGCATCCGAGTTCTCATTGTTGAAAGGAACGAGTCGGAAGACAGAGACTGTGGGGTAGAGCAGCTTCTTGGTTAAATTTAGTAAACTATCAAGTTTTCCTAAATGTTTGCTGGAAAGTGTAGTAATCTGATTAATTTGAAGTTGAGCTTTTTTGGACACAATTCTGAAAGGCCTCTTTAATTCAGAAAAGACAGTGATCAACCAGAAGAACACCATAACCCACTACGATACATGGTGGTGGCAGCATCATGCTGTGGGATTGATTTTTTTTTTTTTTTTTCAGCTGGAACTGCAGTGTTAGCCAAGGAGGGTGGAATTATGAACGGCTTTAAATACCTGTTTATTTTGACCCAAACTCTTCAGCAGTCTAGACCTTAAGAAGAAACGTGTGTGTGTATATATATATATATATATATATATATATTTTTTTTTTTTTTTTTTTTTTATTAATTATTATTATTTTTTTTCAAAAGTATGACCTCAAGTATACAATACAATAATACAATTCAACTTTATTTATAAAGTGTTTTAAAAACAACACTATAGGTGAAAGTGCTGTACACTTGTTAACACATAACACAAACATAAAGACCATGAAATCAATTGAAACTGTAAAAGTAATGAACTGCTAAAATCAGAAAAATAGCAAACAGTAAAAAAATGTTAAAAAAAATTAATTAATTAAAATTGGTAAAAGCCACATCTTAGTCCGAGTTAAAAGCCAAAGAGAGAAAAAAAAAAAAAATAAATACATCCAAACAAACAAAATAATGTCTTCAGCAGAAGAAAATTAAAGTTCTGAAATGGCCTAACTAGAGTTTAGACCTAAATCTAATAGAAATGCTGTGACTTGAAGAGCAATGTTAATGAGGTGCCCTTCAGTCTAACATATTTTAAACACTTTGGCATGAAAGAATAGACAAACATTATCAAGCCAAGGTTTAGTTGCTAAAAAACTCCCTGAGAAAATTGAAGCTGGTGTTCAATCAGAAGGTGCTTCCAACAAGTATTAATTTAAGGGTGTCCACGTTTATTCAATCAACTCATTGCATCATCCGTCTGTCCATTATTTTTAACTGCTTCATCTATTTTGGGTTACGGGGGTGTCACTGGTGCCCATGCCCAGCCATCACTGTGTGGGAGGTGGGGTACACCCTGGACAGGTCTCCAGTCCATCACAGGGACACACAGAGACAAACAACCATTCACTCTATCACTCACACCCAGAGACAATTTAGAGTTAGCAATCAGCCTAACATGCATGTTTTTGGTCTGTGGGAGGAAACTGGAGTACCCGGAGAAAACTCATGCATGCACGGAGAGAACATGCAAACTTCACCCAGAATGGCCCCCAGACCAGGATTTGAACCAGAGTAACCTGCTCACTGAGAGGCAGCAGCTCTACCAACTACGTCACCGTGCTGCCCCATTGCATCTTCCCATTTGTAATATTTTCCCACAACAGTAATTTTTCCAGTTGATTAGACACATCATATATGTCACAGTAAAGTTGGAAACTGTTTTGAAATTATATTTTGTGAGGTCATTTTTTTTTAAATCACTGAATTCTGTCATTTCAACAAAGGTGTGTAGACTTTGAAATCCTCACTATGTAAACATCTGAACTAAAACTTGTTTTTATACTGAATGATCAAAATGGCTGCTGTTAGAGACCTGCACATACCAGATTGTTCTGAAAGTGCCCTCTGATCACGTCTATGATTTAAGATTATGCACTGTTAATTGAGGCCTCAAGGCTGCTCGGAGACTTGTTAGAGTATTAACATTTGCTTGACTATCATAAACCCTCCACAACACCTGTTCTGATTAAGTGCACCTTTTAATTATGGGTAAAATAAGTATGCTGATTATTAGCCTACCTTAAGATCGGTTGAGTAATGAACAATGCAGAACATTATCCACGGCTTCTGTAGGATCCAGACGCTGCTAATCAGCTCCACTAATACCTGATCATTCTTCAGTCTGAAGAACAAGATTTAATTCAACTCATTTCAGTTTATTTATAAAGCGCCAAGTCATAACAGAAGTTGTCTCAGGGCACTGAACAGAAACATTAATATACATGAATAATAAGTTAACAGAAACAATCAAATATAAAAATAATAATTTAACCATTATTTATCTGAGGAGCAGATGACTTTGAATTTAACTATCGCAGAACTCTCATCTTGAGCAAGCATGAAGGCGACAGTGGAAAGAAAAAACTCCCTCATGAGGAAGAAACCTTTAGCAGAACCAGACTCAGGACAAGCGGTCTGATAGATTTTGTTCAACGTGGAGCCATTTTTTCTGAGCAGGTACTCAGAGCTGAGGTGAAACTCAGTACATTGTTGGGATTTTTTGTTTGTCAGGAAGTTTTGATTTTTTTCTTAACACCTGTTTCTGTCGTGTGATGAGATCCCAGTCATCCACCAGCCAGGGTTTCAGCTCCTCAGGGATCTTCACCTTCACCTCCACACGGTTGGTGAACATCTCCTCCTACACACACACACACACACACACACACACACACACACACACACACACACACACACACACACACAGTGCATCTTTAGAGCACATATGAAAACCATTGTACTTGTGTGAGAACAAGTTTCTATAATTTAAACTAAATAAAATTGTTAATTATAGCCAGCTTTTAAACTCAAACTATTATTTTAAATATTATTCTAAATAGTATTATTTAGTATTTTAAATTTGCTTTAATATGAAGCAAACACTTTTTATTTTATTTTAGTAGGCACATGTTTTAGAATTAAAAAAAGAGCATCCCAAGCAGAAACCTCTTGTAGTTCACAGAAGATATTAATCATATTTTTGCACAATAACCTTTAACTTCTCAAACAACTTTGAGTGGATAAAGAGTTCCAGTGACAATCTATAGAAAACTTTCAGTCATTTAAACACTTTGGTTTTAACCTAAATAAAATATCATATAATATATATATGTATATATATATATATATATATATATATA